GCTGCTGGCCTTGTCCAGGCTTCCCGGAGACCAGCTTTTTCTACTTCTCCCCATCAAATGCTCCTACGGACTCTGCCTCATAGTCTGTGGCCTAGCATGCATCTTGTAGAAACGAGGCATGCTAGCAGATTGCAGGGTTGACATGTGTTTTTTCTTTGTTTTATATTAAAAAGGATTCTGTCAGACAACAAAACCAGCATTTGTTCTGAATATGTCTTGTTCTGAAGCACAGAGTCAATGGGCTGATTCAGTCCTTTCGTTCTTGACACATCCCTCCCCCTTTCTCATTAACTTCAGAGGTAATTTGGGTATAATGAGGACATGTTACATTCCAGATGGTAGGTAAACTTAACCTCTCTGGCTCCCTCCATTTGCTGCCACTTCACCAAATGGGCATTGGCCAGGACAACCGCTGCCTTAGTTGGGTCAGCCATCCGTGCACACATAGGGGAAGGATGGAGATAGTGAGCCAGGGTCTCTCCTGAGGACAAAGTGGAGGATAAGCTTTACCTTTTTTGAATCTATGTGGGTCCTCAGCCCTTCCCCTCCCCATGCCTCATGTACCTGGCACACTGGACCCAGGACCTACTTGCTAATTCAGAATGCAGTTTGTCCCTTCCTTATCCTGCCTATTTCCTCTATTTGATTTTTTGTTGTGTGCTGTCAAGTTGATTCCAACTCATAACGATCCTATAGGAATGAGTGAACTGCCCCATAGAGTTCCTCAGCTGTAATCTCTATGGAAGCAGACTGCCCCATCATTCTTCCATGGAGTGGCTGGTGGGTTCGAACTATATGCCTTTGGGTTAGCAGCCAAGCACATAAGCACTCTGCCACCAGGCTCCTTATTTGACTCTAGAAGTGGCTAATATTCCTGTGTTCTCCAAGACCTTGGGTGGCATTGAACAGCCACCCCAGGATCTGAAATCGGTCTCCCAAGTGGAAAGAACTAGGGGAGCCAAGGAGGCACTGAACCTGGTGCTTACCTATGTCAGCAAAGACTTCTGTTGTTCATTTGTTACATCCATTCATTCATTTATTGTCTTAGTGCTTTCTATAAAAGGACATAGCAACCCCCTTGGGAAGGAAGGGAAGAGCCATATAGGCGACTTCATCCAACCCTGAGAAGGACAGAGCTGTTAGCTAGATGTGAGCAAACTTAGATCAGAAGTGGTTCTCCCGGAAGGTGATTAGCTCAGTACTCAATATTTTGAGGGTCAGATAATGTTTCACCAGCTTTTGTATTTCCTTTGGAAATACTTAACCATGGTCTGTCTGTCTTGAAAAACAATGCATACACAGATTTTCCAGATAATTTCAGAGGTTTATGGATCCTGGAAGTCCATCCTTGGTTCTTTGATTAGGAATCTCTCATTGAAACCAAGCCTTCGAACCCATTCCACGAAGTGATCTGGAATGATAATTTGGGAACAATTACAAGGTGAATCCCTAGAATGGGAGACCTGGAAGAGGCATAGTAAGCCCTGTCAGGAGCCTGATGTGGGAGATTGGATTATTGCCAGGCCTGGGAGAGTGACTGCCATTCAAAGTGGCATGGGCAGCCACCACCTTTGAGCTGGGCAATGTTGTTTCAGACTTTTCCAGTCAAGAGGTGTGGTTGCTGCTGTGTAACATGCACACTGTCCTTGTTTTCTAAGTAAGTTTGTGGCAGGGCTTCAGCCCATAATTTTTCCTATTCCAATTATTGTTCCTGTTCACCCCGAATTTTAAATTTTGGGTCTGTTCTAATGCCGCTTCCTTGGCCATGACTGAACTAGGAAGAACTAGTTTGAAGCCAGCCCTGATTTAGACATGGAGACAAACTCTGCCATGGCTTTTCCTGCTGAGAACGGGTGATTCAGCCAGCTCTTCATGGAGGAAAGTTTCCCATGAGGGAAGAAGGTGCAGGACTCCACCTGCCCCTCCCAGCCAGGCAGGAAGCATTTGGGTTGTTGTTCCTGGGACTGCCCCCCAGATGGGTGCTGCTGAGCCCAGAGGTGATCGTGGATGAACCTCCCAGGAGCAGGAGTCTGCCCAGCCTTGGTCATCCTCAGCCTCGGATGAGAATCTTTCCTTTCCTTCTGTTCCCTTCCCTGGGATCAACTAGTGCTGTAAGGCTCTGGGAAGGGAATATCTTAAAGGTAACCAATTTGTCAGGAAAACAGAGTTCTGAGCTTTTTTGCTTCCCTGTGCTTGCTTGCTTTTTTTTTTTTTTTTTACATCCGTGGTATTATGGATTAAATCGGGTCCCAAAAAATGTGTAAATTCTAAACCCATATACCTGTGAGTGTATAATACCTGCTTGGGTCAGTAATGTCTGACTTACGACTTAAAGACAACTCCTATTTGCAGTTTAATATTTTGTAAATGTGCCCTCAGTTTCAAATGATTGAACCAGCCCCTACCAGCAACAATATATGCATCACAATCACCTCCACTTACTGCAGGTGCAGCTTTTAAATCATTGAAAAGGCTTCAAGCTCTTTCTTGCATTAAAGTAAAGCTAAATAAGCATTATAGATAGCTGTTTTGAATTACCTATAAATTGGACTTAAAGACAGGGTAATCAGCCATGTAAGATGCAACTGTTTGTTTCTCCTTGTTTGGGGGAAGGAAAAGTGAAGAAAATAAAAATCTCAAGGAAACAATTAGTCCAATGAAGTAATGAACCGTGCAAACCACAGCCTCCACTAGCCAGAAGAACAAAAGAGACACGCACCCCTGAAAGAGACACATGTTGCTGGGAAAGAGATGCAAGAGACACGCATTGCTGAGTGAGACATGGAGGGACCGGCACTGCTGGGAAAGAGACTGTGAGAGACTTTTGGCTGAGGGACGGTGGGCTGGGAGAGAGACTGAGCATTTTTCCTGAACTTGAATTGTAGCCTGGTTCTTCCCTAATAAACCCCATAATCTGTGAGTTCTGTGTGGCCACTGCAGTGAATTATCGAACCCAGGAGGGAGGTGGTGGGTGCTTTGGGAGGAACGGTTGGTGAAAGGGCTGGAGGGAGGCAACATGTCTGGCCTTGCAGGAATAGGCCTTGGGTTACTGCTGGTAATCTTGTCTTCCTCTTGTGGGATTAGAGGAGGTCAGAACATGTGGCCTCCTTGCCATTTTTGCAGCACTACACTACCAGAGCTCCCTACAATACTGTCAATGATGGGATAATATCCATATGCCTACAAGGAAACCCAGTTAATACTGCTATTATTCAAATTTATGCACCAACCACTAAAACCAAAGGTGAAGAAATTTAAGATTTTTACTATTATTCAAATTTATGCACCAACCACTAAAGCCAAAGGTGAAGAAATTTAAGACTTTTACCAACTTCTGCAGTCCGAAATTGATCAAACATGCAATCAAGATATATTGATCATTAGTGGTGATTGGAATGCAAAAGTTGGAAACAAAGAAGAATCGCCAGTAGTTGGAAAAGAAGGCCTTGATGATAGAAATGACACCAGAGATCTCATGATAGAATTTTGCAAGACCAATGACTTATTCATCGCAAATATTTTTTTTCAGCAACATAAATGGTGGCTATACACGTGGACCTCACCAGATGGAATACACAGGAACCAGATCAACTATATCTGTGAAAGAGCTCAATATCTTCAGCCAAAACAAGGCCAGGAGCTGATTGTGGAACAGACCACCAATTGCTCATATGCAAATTGAAGTTGAAGCTGAAGAAAACTAAAACAAGTCCATGAGAGTTAAAATATGACCTTGATTATATCCCACTTGAGTTTAGAGACCATCTGAAAAATAGATTTGATGAATTGAACACCAATGATCAAAAACCAGACGAGTTGTGGGATGACATCAAGGACATTGTACATGAAGAAAGCAAAAAAAAAAAAAAAATTAAAAAGACAAGAAAGGAAGAAGAAAACAAAATGGATGTCAGAAGAGACTCTGAAACTTGCTCTAGAACATAGAGTAGCTAAAGAAAATGGAAAAAATGACAAGATAAAAGAACTGAAAATTTCAAAGATTTCAGCTCGAGAAGACAAAGTCAATTATTATAATGAAATGTGCAAACGACTTAGAAAACCAAAGAGAACACACTCAGCATTTCTCAAGCTGAAAGAACTGAAGAAAAAATTCAAGGCTCGAGTTGCAATATTGAAGGATTCTATAAGCAAAATAATGAATGATGCAGGAAGCATCAACAGAAGATGAAAGGAATACAGTCACTGTACCAAAAAATAATTGTTTAACTATTTCAGGAGATGGTATATGATCAAGAACTAATGGTATTGAAGGAGGAAGTTGAAGCTGCACTGAAGGAATTGGAGAAAAACAAGGCTCCAGGAATTGACGGAATACTGATTAAGATGTTTCAACAAACGGATGCAGCCCTGGAGGCTCTCACTCAACTATGCCAA